AGTAGAAAGAAACTAAATATTATAACCATAGGCGAAAATTGACTAAATTTTTTGGGGGGACTTAAGCCCTCCTCCCCATAGGGCTAATGATTATAACTTATAATAGTACCTAATAAAATATATTGTTGTTCTATTTAAAAACACTGTAATTTCGGGAGGGGGGCTACTCACTAGGCCCCCCCATTTACGCCACTGATACGTCCTATAGGCTATAGTCTTTGAAAGAGCATTTTAAACTTTGTTTTCTGCTTATTACGGCCCGGAAATATCGCGGGTAGTTTATTTAAAAATAAAAATTAACCCACGTTCAGCAGTTTGCTTGTTAATTTATTTAAAGATGTAAATAGTAAATAAGATGAACTACGCTACAACGGTTTGCATTATTTGCACCGACGGGCTAAGTTATCGCTGTAATTCCACGAATGAATAAAATATAATAATAAGTAATACTTAATATTGAATAATATTAATAATTATGATTAGGTAATAACTAATGCCTAATGAGTAATGAGTATACAAACGTGTATGCCGTATGGGATACTCAAAGTAAATAGTTGTATTTTCTTTCTATTAATCGTCGCCTCAGAATGAAAAGGTTCTAAATCAATTTTTTTGAAAAATGTTTTTTTTGCATATAATCATTTATAATTTTTTGTTGTATAATTCAATCTTGAAATCGGATCGATCCGTTGATTATTCAATGAGATACAGAGAATGAAAAGGTTCTAACTCATAAAAACGTGAATGATAAGCGCGAAACCGAGAACTATCAGTTACAACCTTTTCATTCTAAACAATAATTAAGAATGAAATAGTTCTAAACGGTTTTAAATGTAATATCTCAGAATGAAAAGGTACCGTTATAATACGGTTATACCACTGGTACAATATAAATTATTATTGTGCCATAATAAAATATTATTCCAGCATTCCAGCATAAACTTACCGCCTATTTTTGTTTTGTGATATTTTCCACATGTATATAGTACCTACTTTAATATTATAATAAATGGTACATTTAAATTTGAATTACATTTGATTGAAAGCAACTAGTATATTTTTAAAATCCCGATAACAGCCGTGGGGGGCAACTGGTCCACACCCTTCCAATATACCCCCTTCCCTACACTAGTTGCGCCAATGGACCATTCAATTGTTTATAGTAGGTATGTCCAGGCACATACACAAAAAAAAATTCCTGGGGGTGGGGGGACCCCCGCCCTCCACATATACTGGTATGTTATATTATAATAATACTTAACTTAAAAACTAAAAATATTGCATAATAAAAAAATGTATTATTTATAACATAGTTTACACTAGAAGTTGGTATCACTGCATAGAAAAAATGATTCAAATCAGAACGAAAAAGTTCTAACTAAATAAATTATTTTTATTTTTAGAATGAAAAAGTTCTACACGTAAAACCTTTTAATTCTAAAACTAATATTTTAGTTTTTTATAATTAACTCAGTCAATAATTGAGGAAAGACAAATTTCAGCTAAAGTTGTGTTCTTTGGAACTTTCTTGATATTGCATACAATTTTCACGATTTAGTAATTATGGTGAAAAAAGTTATTCAATGTCCTACTTAAAAATGTTCCACTGAACAATTACATAAATTGCGTTAGAACCTTTTCATTCTGAGACGACGTAATGACGGGGTTACGCCAATACCATTTCTGTTAATAATATAGTTGTATAATGATATATTCTGTGAATATTCAATACAATAACTATTATTATAAATTATTATTTATTAATTAAAATATTTTTTATTTCGAATCATTATTATTTTTTTTTTTCATGGATTCAATCAATTTTTACAAAATTGAATATATTTTTAACCTGTAGCTTAGGAATTAAATACTTATTTAAAAGTACCTTAACTTTTTAACTCGTTAATGCTCAGCTTTTTTTAAGTTCAGTTTTTATTGTTTTTATAGCCATATAAAATGTATTACTCCTTTCTAATTTTTTACGAAAAACAATTGAAAATATATATATATTATATATATATAATCTAAGAATCCTAAATATTACTGAAGACACAAAAATCTTACCTGACTCACAGTTTGGTTTCCGTGGAAAGCATTCCACAGTGCATCAAATCTGTCAAATAATAGATAAAATATAATTTTCTCTAGTAGAAGAACAATACTGCACTGGTGTCTTTTTTGGACGTTCCCCAAGTGACCCATTTGACCAAGTCTTTTACTTTGGTCTTCTGTTAAAATTGAAACTCATCCTGTCATTTACTTACTGCATTATAATTAAGGATAGCATTCTCTCTTAATCAAAACCAATTAATGCAGGAGTCCCCCAAGGTTCAGTCACAGCTCCACTTCTATTTAACATCTTCATATTTTCATACTTGCATCTTCACACAACCAAGAGCATATTTTCCTTCTCGAAAAATGGTACAAGGACTGGGGAGTGAAAATAAATGATTCTAAATCTATACACTGTGTCTTCACTCTTAAAAAAATAAAATACCAACCGTTTACCCAATATTAGCAAACTTTGCCAAACCACACAGAGCATTCGCTACCTAGGCATTAACCCTTCTTAAAACAGCTTAACATTTTTAGGAAATAAGTTTAGCAATGAATAACTATGGAATGCATGAGTTATATGTAAGTTTATATTTAATGTTCTTTAAGAATTCACATTGACATTGTATCGAAATGCCTAATCGATAATAATTGACTCAAATTTTAATTTTACAGTAGTAAAATACATCTTTAATTTATTGTATTCCTACTATTAATTTAAAAACATAACCTAAAAATGTAGACATTGTTCATTAATCTGCATTGAATATTTTTCTCTCCTCAAGAAATATTTAGATGATCACTAAAATAATCATTGTTTATTTATAAATATTACAAAAATAAAAAAATATAAGAAGTTATAACCATTTAATAATCAAATTATAGGTAGATAGGTACTTATATTATATTGATTAATAACGTTCATAATTGTCAGTATACAGTGGAAAATTTAAGGGCGGGGGCATCGGATTCCGATAACAGATTGAATATTGATTTACTAAAAACAATTGTATTACACCCACGGTTAAAACATAGAATGTTATAAGCAGAGACCGAATTTATATTCGCTTAAAATCTTGAAAATAAGATGTGTAACGTCACACACGATGGCTTACCCAGATTCGGCGTGGAGCGTACGTTGACGAAAAACTTTAGTGGGAAGGTCGCCAACCCACAGCCGAGATTCGGAAATTGGAGCGTGTGGGATTTGTAATATAATAATGTAATTAGGGAAAAAGCAATAAGAACATACAACTGATGGGTGAGTTAAGGCATATTGATTTTAATAATCTTATGGTAAATAAATAATTAATTTATGGCCAAGAAAAGCCCACACTGGCATAAAAACTTGGCCTTAACAAAAAGGGTCACCTTAGAAAAAAACAACAAATACATAATAATAATAATAATAAAAATAGTAGTACAATATAGTATGTATTATACACAGAAAAACGAAACGAAATACAGGCCAAGGTGTAGTCTATGATAATAATATTAAATAATAATGGTATTACCAAATTCCGATATTGTGTGTCCTGGGCGTCGCCCGCAGGACGTCCGCGGTAAACATGGGTACCTACTCAGAATTCATGTTGTCCGGCAGAGAGGCAAAATAAAAGTAACGGGCGTCGGACGCGTTACACATCACACGCAAAAAAAAATATAATATTATACAATAATTTGGTAATAACTGATTATTGGCCGGTATTTGATTATGACTATTACTGTACTAGGCAGCGGTGATAGTGTGTGTGTACGTCGACTATCATAATATGCATATCGCCTTTTTGTTTTGGATGTAGGCAGAGATGCCCGCGGGACGGAGAGCGCTATCATATTATATTTGACATCATTATCGTTGTTCATTTTCGACCGTTGAAGATGCTTCTACGCTCTATAAATTTCATCAAAATAATCTTTTATATGCAAAAATTTTATTTTTCATAAAAACGTATTAACCACTAAAAAAACAAATAAAAGTAACAGTTTGTAAAAATAAACAGTTATATTTAATCTATAATATGGTGATATACTACCATACTGGTGTACCTATATTCAACTGTTGTAACACAAACTTATGAATTCAAACAATAATAATACTAAAATAAAAAATAAAAATAAAAAATAATTGCATATAGTTGAACTACAAAATTATATTATATATTAAAATAACTCAAACTTATGAACTCAAAAAATAATTATAATAACAAGTTTTAAATAATGAAAATAAAAAAAATTTATTAGATTTTTGGTGGAGACACTAGATGCATACACTATTGATATAGCTGCCCTACAAGAGATTAGATGGACTGAAGTGGGACAGATGAAAGTCAGACATTATATAATATACTTTTCAAGAGTAGTAGATAGACATCATCTCGGAACTGGCTTTGAAAAGTTGGAACCATAAAGGAGTTTATCCCAATATCGGAGAGAATGGCATGTCTAAAGCTAAATACGACACCACTTAACATCATGTTAGTGTGCGTGCATGCCCCGACGGAAACAACCAAAGATGAAGTTAAAGATGAGTTTTATAATAAGTTGGATTAAACATGGGTTAGTTTACAAGGAAATATCGTCAAAATATTTCTGGGAGACTAAAATGCTAAATGTGGAAGAGAACCTCAATACACTCCGATTGTTGGGAAAGAAAGCCTGCATACCATAAGCAATAGAAATGGATTACGACTCATCTTCTTTGCAGCGTCAAATAACATGGTTGCTAGAAGTACAACATTTCCCCACAAAAATATACATAAAGCTACGCGAAAGTCTCCGGATGGAAATACGCTGAACCAGATTGACCACATATTAATTGAAAATAGGTTTCGATCAAGCATAAGGAACATAAGAAGTTACAGAGGAGAGGATATCGACACAGATCACTTCCTGTTGATATCAAAATTCAAGTTATTATTTCAAGTATTCAAGTATTACTAGGCATGATAAGCTTAAAGAAGAGGAAAAGTGTGAAATTCAATGTAGACCAATTTAAAAACGAAAATATTATAAAAAAATATGCAGATAGTATTGATTTACATCTTAAAGACTGTAGAGCGGAGAATAAAGAAACAGATTGGAATAAGATTAGGTCAGTCATAAAAGAAGCTGCAGAACGAAGCATTGGTGGAGTGCAAAATGGAAATAAGAATAAGAAAAAGAAATGGTATAATAAATTATGCAGGGAAGCCATGGAAAAAAGACGTGTAGCAAGAGCAGATTTTATAAAATCTGGGAATCAGGGAGCGAAGGACATTTTTCTAATTGAAAGGAAAAGCTGTAAGAGAATGTTACAGAGGGAAAAAGGAAGTTCATTAATATTATTTTGGAGGAAGCTGAGAAGGATCGCTCACAAGGAAGAATTAGAAACTTCTTCAATACTATTGGACAGTATAAGGACTTAAACCCAATCCTAAAGGCAATAAAGGGTAGTAATGGAGATATCCTTATGGAACCAAGTGATAAAGCTAAAAGGTGGAGAGAATACTTCATAGATCTTCTAAATGAGGTACCAGTGGACCCGATAGGAAACTCACAATACCAGACAGCGGAACCAATGATTAGCGATATTACGTTGGAGGAGGTCAAGATTGCTATTAACAGTCTAAAGCAGGGTCTCCAAACTACGGCCCGCGAACAAGTTTTAACCGGCCCGTGGCCCGCATAGGACGCATAGATAAATATAGTTAAAAATTATTTCAAAAATGTATTTATATTATATTATATTTATAGCTATTTATTTTTATTTAAGTATATTGTAAAGTAAACAATATTCTATACACAAATATAAAGTAAACATTTTATTTATATAGGTACACCTATATTATCATAAAGTTAAAAATTATATGTGTTAATAAACTTTTGGCCCGCTAAGAGCATTTGATTTTTTTTGTGGCCCTTGAATAAAAAAGTTTGGAGACCCCTGGTCTAAAGAACTGGAAAGCTCCAGGTTCTGATAATATACTGGCTGAGCTTATGAAATACGGTGGCGAAGAAATGCATAAGTCTATCTTCAAAATATGCAAAAAGATCTGGGAAGAAGAACAAATGCCTGAAGACTGGAAAAGGGCAATAATTATTCCCATCCACAAGAAAGGTGATAAAACTGAGTGTGGAAATTATAGAGGGATATCGCTTCTAAACTCAGCATATAAAGTACTTTCCAAAGTGCTACTGAATTGTTTAAGTCCCTATATAGAAGAAAACCTAGGTTTAATATCAATGTGGTTTTAGGAGGGGTGGATCAACTATTGAACAAATTTCAGTTATAGGTCAGATCATAAAAAAGAAGTATGATTTTCGACAAAACCTCTGGAAAATATTTGTAGACTTTAAAAAAGCCTATGATAGAACTTAAATATTACTGAATTTGGAATACCGAAGAAGCTAAGGAAACTAATCAGGCTGTGTATGAAAGGAACGCAATATAAAATCAAGATAGATCAGACAACCTCTGAAACGTTTACAGTGGAAACAGGGCTAAAGCAAGGGGATGCGCTGCCTCCAATATTATTTAATGTAGTTCTATAAAAGGCGGTCAGAGAGATGCAAAAAGAAGCAACGGGTGCAGAAATAAACCAGCAAAAAGTTCAAATCCTAGGTTTTGCTGATGATCTCAACATTGTAGGCAATACCAGAGAAGATACAGTGAAAGCATTGAAAGTTCTAGAAAAATTAGCAGATAGAATAGGACTAAAAATAAACGTGGAAAAGACCAAGATCATGGAGCTATTAGATACTGACACAGATACAACGAAAACTGACCAGGATGACTGGATATATGAAAAAGTTAATGATTTTAAATACCTTGTTATATGTATTAATACGAAAAATTACTGGTCACAAGAGATTAGAATAAGGATAATTAAAGCAGGGAGGGGGTCCTTTGCATTATCCAAATTTTTTAAATCTAAAATGTTATTGAAGAAAACGAAAGTCAGACTCTACACAGTGATAGTGAGAGTTGTATTAACATATGGATGTGCAGCGTTTACGAGTTTGCGACTATAAGCGTAACAGAACGAAGACTTACCACCTTCGAAAACAGGATATGGCATATGATATGTCTACCTAAATTAGACGAAAACACTGGTATGTGGAGGAGAAAGTTTAACAAAGAACTAATTGAAGAAACAGGAATGACTCCAATTAAATATTATATAAAAGGCCAAAGAATCCAGTTGTTTGGGCACATTATGAGTGGAAGTGACGTTAAGATAATAAAGACACTACTGCCTTGGAAACCAACGGGTAAGAGACCACGAGGACGCCCGAGAAAAGATGGTTGGGCGTGGTCAAGGAAGATTTAAAAAGGATAGGAGAAATATAATTCATGATCGAGAGAAGTGGCGTGAAGTTGTGATGGCGAAAAAAACTCTTGTTTAGTAGATAAAGCCAGAAGAAGAAGAAGAAAAAGATTTTTGTAAAATATTCAAATTTGAACCCCATATTGTCATGTATTGTTTTTTACACAAAATATTCTTTAACCTTTAATATTCTTTTTATACGCTAAAAAATGTTGTTTATCAGTTTATAAGTAAATGAATCGTCGAGAAAGCTTATCCAATTGAAGCTGCATACTCTCAGTAAAGATTTGTAAAAACATAAATATCCGATCTATTGTTATAAGTTATAACGTATTATAATAACTGAAATATCGTCACGGTAACCGATAAATTGGAATAAAAATAGGTTTAAAATAACGTTACTTAATTGATTTTAGATTCCCGAAATTCCGGGAAATTATCGTTTATAAGTAACCTGTTTCAAGGTATGTCTTAAAAAATCAAATTTTAACGACTAACATATGACACAATTGTGGGTAGGTAAGAACCTACATACAAATGTAAATACACATTAAAAGTATTAAAAAAAATAAACACTTTTTAATTATTGATATTTGTTTGATGTTTCAATATAGGTAACTAAAAATACATCAACTCAAATAAAAATACAAAACGCATTTGTGACAATTTCATATTAATAGTAACCTTGTATAAATGTAATAATATAATATATACAAAGCAAAAACAGGGCTCAAAGCACTATACCTACATTATACATATTATTTCATTTTAATTAAAAGGTTAATGTTATACAATAATTTACTATAGGTACATAATAATATTAAATATAGTATTGAATAATGACAGTGGTTATCTATATACCTAGGTATCACATACAGTCATAATATCTCATAATTTTTTTTCTAATTCTTGGTCCATTTAGATTTTATAATAAATTACAAACTTTAAAGGTAGTACTATAAATAACTGGCTAAAAAAATACTGGCTTAAAAAATATAATAATTACTATAAATTCTAATTGAATATAATATTATACAGAATATTCTAGTAACAGTAGTAACCTTAGTAATCATGCAAACATATAAAAAAAGTTATTAGTACATCTTCAATTTAAATAAACTGTTATTTAATAAGACTAAAATAAATACTAGTGATAACAAAGACTTTTCCAATTTGGTATAACCAACGTTTGAGACTAAATGTTTAATAAAAACAGACACTTGACGATGCACCTACAGACTCATGCCAGATAAAAACCGTACACGTGCGGAGTATGTTACAAGTCGTTCAGTGAAAGTTGCCAGTTGACGGTACATCAGAAGATGCCTACAGGAGAGAAACCTTACATGTGTGACGTGTGTGACAAACCATTTTCAGTTAGCAGCAATTTAACCAAGCACCGGAGGACCCATACTGGAGAAAAACCGTACCAGTGTGAAGTGTGCGATATGTCATTTTCAGTTAGCAGCAATCTAACCATGCACCGGAGGACACATACTGGAGAAAAACCGTACCAGTGTGACGTGTGCGATAAGTCATTCACACAAAATATCCACCTAACGAAGCACCGTAGGACCCATACTGGAGAAAAACCCTACCAGTGTGAAGTGTGCGATAAGTCATTTTCAGTTAGCAGCCATCTAACAATGCACCGGAGGACACATACTGGAGAAAAACCGTACCAGTGTGAAGTGTGCGATATGTCGTTTTCAGTTAGCAGCAGTCTAACAATGCACCGGAGGACACATACTGGAGAAAAACCCTACCAGTGTGAAGTGTGCGATATGTCATTTTCAGTTAGCAGCAGTCTAACCATGCACCGTAGGACCCATACTGGAGAAAAACCGTACCAGTGTGAAGTGTGCGATATGTCATTTTCAGTTAGCAGCAATCTAACCATGCACCGGAGGACACATACTGGAGAAAAACCTTACCAGTGTGACGTGTGCGATAAGTCATTCACACAAAATATCCACCTAACGAAGCACCGTAGGACCCATACTGGAGAAAAACCCTACCAGTGTGAAGTGTGCGATATGTCATTTTCAGTTAGCAGCAGTCTAACCATGCACCGGAGGACCCATACTGGAGAAAAACCGTACCAGTGTGAAGTGTGCGATATGTCATTTTCAGTTAGCAGCAGTCTAACCATGCACCGGAGGACACATACTGGAGAAAAACCCTACCAGTGTGACGTGTGCGATATGTCATTTTCAGTTAGCAGCAGTCTAACCATGCACCGGAGGACCCATACTGGAGAAAAACCATACCAGTGTGAAGTTTGCGATATGTCATTTTCAGTTAGCAGCAGTCTAACAAGACACCAGAGGACACATACTGGAGAAAAACCGTACCAGTGTGAAGTGTGCGATATGTCATTTTCAGTTAGCAGCAATCTAACCATGCACCGGAGGACACATACTGGAGAAAAACCTTACCAGTGTGACGTGTGCGATAAGTCATTCACACAAAATATCCACCTAACGAAGCATCGTAGGACCCATACTGGAGAAAAACCCTACCAGTGTGAAGTGTGCGATATGTCATTTTCAGTTAGCAGCAGTCTAACCATGCACCGGAAGACACATAATGAAGAAAAACCGTACCAGTGTGACGTGTGTGACAAATCATTCGGTGAAAGTGGACATTTGATGAATCACCGGCGTACCCACACAGGAGAGAAACCATGTATTGATGTACCTATGTGACGTGTGTGGTCAGTAATAGCAGTTACTTGACAGTACATCAGAGGAAGCACACAGGAGAGAAACCAATCCGTGTCCGTGTGATGTGTTAGAGATTCGTAAAAACTTACGAATATGACGATACACTAGCGGACGCATACGGTGCAGATGTTAGTTAAAATATGATAATCGACAAAGGTCAAATTATCACAAACCTCTTTTTCGAATTTTTTTGGTTTTATGAATATTAATAATGATCAAGCCTTTGAATATAACTAAATATCCAACCCCATGAACATGTTGAAAGCGCTAAAATACTTAAACTTAAGGTTGGCAGGATTCTGAATGATTAAATAAACACTTAGTGGTACTGTAAGATGGTTGTTTATTAAATACTGAATAGTCATATCTTCGCATAAGCATACAATGAAATACATATAATTTAAATCGGCAGTTGGTCCGCTGACACACATTTCGTGCCCGGTGGTACCTAATGGCGAAACAGAAAGATTACTTCGGCGGAGGAAGGTCCGGCAGGCCGTGCGACATTGTAGCTGTATTATACAATACCTCATATTAATATCATGTATTGTAAGTTGTAAGTTATGCCTTTTTAGGGCATTATAATATTATGTTAAATCCACAAATAAATAGTTTATAGCTTAAACATCTAGGTTGAGCTGAACATTTTATTAGAATTTTGGATAGTGTCATGTATCGGCATCATAAGACATAATATATAATACAGAGAAATAGATAAGAAAATAAGAAATATTTAATACAATAGTAACCAGTTAAAATAAACTATTAGGTTTTGAATTATTTTTCCAGTCCATTTACTACGGTAATTTTTTTTTTAAACAATTCAATTTTGTTGATTAGAACAAGTGTTCCAGATTGCTTAGCTGGTGTCGTTTGGCTATAGGAGTAGCCTATATTGTCAAACAAAACCACTAACCCTGATAAGGTGGAACAACCAATAGTCATAAAATTGAATCAAATAGCCGAACAACTGACCCCCACGAGTTTTTCTCAGTGAGGCCCAGTAATCTTTTGATATTAATTTAAATAAAAAAAATAAACAAATAATCATTTGTTACAAAAAACGTGTACTATATCAGTTAACTGTTATTGTCAGACGATTACAATAGCACTAGTTACGCCTGATGTATCTCAGAAGTACAAGTATTAGGTACCTCTAGAGTTGTGAGATAGTCACATCTAGTGGTCGATAGTCGATTGTTTTAATATCACCAATTGTATCGATTAATCGATTGTTTTAGATGTACCAAGATCGTATCGAACACGGATTAATATATTAGTCTGGGGTATCGAATAACCAATAGTATCGAATAACCGATAGCATCTACTAACCGATATATTATTCTTATGCTATAGAGTAATGGCCAGGGGGTATCGATTTGGAATAACTCTAAAAGTCAGTCAAATCTTCCCACTTCCCAGGCAATGAAGTGAATAAATGTTCAATTAATTATAACTAATTGTATACATTTAATCTTCTATTGGTAATTAGTTGGTAATTTAAAGTAGTAAAAACTATAATTATTATTATATACATTTTTTTATTTAATAACAAAAAAAAAATGTATTGTTACAACAAAATTTATAAATAGGAGTTGTCGGGAGGTAGTGGGTAGTTGGTACTAATAAGTGAAAGCATTATGCACATAAATTATATTTTTCTGAATTAAAAAAATATTTTTTTATATTGATTTTATGCGATAAACCGATTATATATATATTATATTATATACCTATATATCGTTTAACGGATAATATCGTTAATCCGATAGTATCGACGTATCGATTGTATTCGATACATCGGATGATTCTGTTTAATAAAAAACATCGATTACTAAAAACGATTAATCGATACTATCCTACTTACTAAGGGAGTAGAGACTAAGGGTTATACTAGTATAGCAGAGTTGTTTGACAACTCAACTTACCAAAGGGGCAGTTTTCAAAACTTCAAAGTCCAAAGAGCTGGATTATCCTAGAATGTATTTTTTATTTGCTTATTTTCTTCTACTTTTTACAGTTTTTAATAGTTCTGATTCACTTGCCTAAAATTAAATTAATATTTATTTCCTTTACTCTACTGTAACACGATTACGATATTACACGAGATCACGTATAATTGTGTCTAGAACTATTTTCAGATCTTACGCTAGAGTGGCAAGAGTGCAAGACCTTGTAAGTATGCTTGTGAAAACATATAAGTTATCTTCTATAAGTACCTTGATTTACTATCTCTTAAGTATTTACTTTTGTCAACTTAGCCAGATCATTGTCTACCCAAGACATACTGCTTGGTGTTATTGAAGATGTAACGTAGTCGGGGGAACGAACAGTTAAATATAAGATATCCAGGGAAAATTGTATAGGATCCTATAGATATAAATACCGTAGCCAGGGGCAGATATTATGTAAATATCAGAATCTTAAATATATTTAAACGACTAGGATTCCATTTCGAATTATAATTGTGGTTTATTGTCTACTAAACACCTACAAATAATAATACTCACAAAATATATAAGTATAAGCTATGTTCTATTATACCATATTACTATGTGACTGTAACTGTATCGTAGTCATAAAGGAGTCCGGTAGTCGTAGTGTACTAGTGTGTATTGAGGTCTGAGGTGCACAGTGAACTGCTTTACTAATCCATGATGTGTGTTGGCCATAGGCCTTACAATTAAGTGTCTTAATATTAATGTATCGGTAAGCAGTTAATCGTACATAAGGTAGAGTTCGTATTATATACATAGGTGCCATGTAACATATTTATATTTATAATTGTTGCAATGAGTATGATTCTTTATTTATCAAAGTACTAGATGGTTTTATTGTATTATATTTTATCTGCTTGATTGTGTTATTTTGGTAGTTTTTTGTTGAATATCTACCGTTTTCTTCATGATCTTATTGAATTGATTCTGGTTTAAGGGATATTGACCCATTAGTTTTGTAAAAAGATTCATCTATTTCATCACCTTGTCCATCACGTGTTGTTGGTATAGGCTTTGACACACTATTTAATTTATAAATATATTAATTTTTACAAAATTTCTAGATTTACTTACCGAGATACTATGCTTATTGAGTCTTCAGTTGTTCCCTTTGTAAAACTTTGTCTTGAACTATGATTTTTATTCTTAAGCTTATCCAAATTTGATCTTAGATTTTGGTTTTCATCTTCTAAACGTTTGACTTCATGTTGTAATTCTTTGAGTTTAATATGTTCTACGTTTATATGATACCTATGAGATTTATTTTGAAGTTCTAAGTTTTTCATAATATTCTAAAATATAAAGTGAAAAAACACATTTATAACTGCTTATTAACTATTGTACAAAATAAAAATTTACCAAAATTTTATCATCTTGTTTTTTTATTGTACTTTGAGCTTCATCTAATTGATCTGATAGTTTTTCTTTTTTACTTAGCTGTTTATTCTGAGATAAACCTAAAAGATGTTTGTACTGTTTTTCTAAGGATATTAATTCGATGTTCTGTGACTTATAACTATTTTCCATTTCTTTAAATGAAATTTTAATATGACGTATTTGGTTTTTTAATGTGCGTATTTCATCTTCATATGATTTAATTACTTGTGGTAGCTTGGCTTGTTTACCTTCATACATAGATAATGCATTTTCGTGCCGCTTCCCAAATGTTTTTAATAAACGGTTTTCTACGATCAGTTCCTAAATTATTAACATGTATATTGATCATTGTTTGATTGATCATTGTTTTAAGTATGGTCTTTTTTTTAAATGAACTCACACGCGCTTTCGTATGTGCTTCAGCCAGTTTATTTTCCAGTTTTTTTATACGCAATATATTATCGTTAATTAGTAAGCTATTGACATTTGATCTGTTTGATTTAGTTCCAGTATGGCTAGTATAAGTGGTATGATATGATGTATTTGATGTGCCTGTCAAAATATTGCTGAACTAAATTAATTCCATCCAAGTATTACAACTATAGTTAAATAATTACTTACATTTTCTTCTTCTGGTGGCTGACAATGTATGTAAACGTATTGGTTTCAAAACTTTCTTCTTCTTCTTACGCTGCTGGTTCTGAGTACTGTTTATTTTTTTGTTACCAAATACAGGCGATTCCATTTTGTATTGCCCAAAAATGTCTCTAATAAGCAGTGAATAAATAAAAACAATTTACATAATATTAGTTAGTTACATCAGCATGCAATAATATACACATACTCGGGATATGGACCATTATTAGAATGTAAAACAGATTCATTCTGATCTTTATTCATTAGATATTATAAAAAAAAATGTCCAAATAAAATACAATTACAATTACCTATGTAATATGTATAAGACTTAATAAGATAGATAATAAAATATTAATTGTACAGTAAATTAATATATAGAAAAAAGTTCAATATATAAATATTGCTGTTTAAAAACAATATGCTAATATGTGGCCCATTATTATTGATTTTTTTCACCCGTAGCAACAGAAACAATTGATAACATACAGTTCGTACTAGCACAATATAGTTTATATTATTAACAACTGAAATGATCTTGATTACATAATCAATGGTAAGCATAATATTATGTTATAATTTATAACAAATACCAACCAGCCTCTTTCATAATATTAAAATTTAGTATTTACATGATAGAATATTTCGTACTTACTGAGTCAACAGATTTTTTTCCCTGCAAAAGTTGTGCTAATTTTTAATAAATATTTAATGATATGATAATAGGCTACAGGTATGTACTGACTCTTAAAATGTAGGAAATCAATAATTTACCTGTATATGTACATGTAATAGTAAAGTGTTTAGGATTATTGAAAAGTTAAAAACATGACTTATGAGCTTATGACATAGTAGGTAGCTTAGGACATAGTACTATAGAGCTATTCTAGGCACTAGCGGCTATAGACCAAAAAATCAATTAGGCTTCTATAAACAATTTACCGAGTTTGATAAGAAATATACCTGTGACCTTGAACACGAAGTAGGCCTTTTGTATTTGTAGAAATCCGCCCCTACGTATTAAATACTTACATAATATCTCGAAAACGATTGTCTGCGTCGACATTGACGGCAAGACAAAAAAAACATTAGCATAAATCATATCATGAAAGCGATTGTTACAAAGAAAAACTATCCGAAAGTAAATAAAATCAAAGTTTGCGGGTATAGGACCGACTGAGCTCGTAGCTCGTACCAAGTTCTGTTGGATCCTGGTGTTGAACGCATTCCGTGGTGGGCGTCTGCATCCGACCGGATCTCGTCAACTTTTTCGTCCTTGAGTCGTAGTTCGTGAACTTCTTTAGTATCCGTCAGACCCCAGCTCCACGAGGCGATATGTGTCGCTCGGGAGTAGTACCAACGACGTAGACATGAAAACCAACAATCGGCGGTGATTCGAGTGATTGTTCTGTCGACTGAGAAAGTGAGAAGTGACCTTCGTGATCGTGGTCTTCGATTACGATGCCCTTCCTCATCGATGTTGGTATCACGAGTAATGGCCGTCCCTTGTATCGATGGTTCAAAATTCCCAAAGACAGCTCGTAGTTTTCGATTTCGTTTTTTTTTGTTTGGTAATAGTTTACCATTGTTCTCGAGAAGTTCGACGAGTTTAAGGCAGTTTTCGTTAACCTGCTTCACGAATCGAACACATTCTTCTTTCGTTAATGCGACGCTCACTTCGAGTCGTTCGGTCAACTCTGCGTCGACGGTACTCGAATCCGTTTCGTCGTCCATGGCACGGTTAAGAGGGCCGACGTGAGCCATCCGTGATCTCTGTTTACGACATTCAATATTCACACTTGAAATATCTATTTCTCCTTAACAAATTTTTGATTATTTTTTTTAATTAAAAAATTAATAACTATAGGTACTTGAAATAAAGAGCTATGTCTATTCTTTTTTTCCATACCTAAATAGTATTTTGTTTTAGCATTTTAAATACATTAAAGATACATATGGTATGTATAGGTATTATGCTTGAGCTAATGCTCGAAATCGTATTTCTTCCAAAACCCACTTTTTAACAGAAATAGTTTTAGAATGCAAAGGTAAATTTTTAAAGCTAACATTTATGATTAAACATTTATACCATCATTATTGACCGTTTTTATAGAAATAAAAGGTTTTATGGCCGGCATCACACATAGCGATTAAGCGCTAAATAGGGAAAATAGCTGCATATGTGGGAGCTACCCATCTATTTTTGGCTGTTTCGATAATTCCAAAAACGCGTGATGTCTCAAAAATAGACGAGTAGAGCTAAAGCGCGTGTTTAAAACGTGGACCAACGCTATATGCACCGTTTCGATGTGTGGCGCCAGCCTTAATCCTCAAAAATTAACAATAAATAGAATTTTATCAAATTTATAATGCCTAGTTAATGGAACCAAATTATCGATTAATCACAAAAAATAATACAATAATATTATTGTACGTTAATGTTATGGTAGGTACACAACAATTGACAATATTATAGTTTTATTTGTTTACGGAGATAAAATCACGCGTTGTAATCATTTGTTATCACTTAATTATTAAATAAAAAAAAAATAAGAAATATGAATAAAAAGTTCTAAATAATTTTTTTTTTTTATTTTAGGTTTAAAACATTATAATTTCAGTGACAAGTTGCTTTTTACTTTGGAACTCCAAGTATAAAAAGATGTTCAAGGAGTAGAATAATTTAACTAAAACCTTCAAATTACTTTATTGGACAATTTCATAAAAACGATTTAAACCCTTTTCATTCCAGACCCAAGTGCTATGTATTATGAAATGATAAATTATACATTATAGTATTATAGGTACAAATGCTATTGACTAAATTATACCTAAATTGGTTTGTGAAGTTTATTAAATTCGTGGTATCAAGATATAAGACTTGACGTCCAAATATACAACTTGATATATTATTACGAAAAAATGCTATTATTTGGTCAAACCCGATATACTACAGATTAGACATAAGCTTATAATAACCTACAGTACTATAACATTTGTAAAATCTGTAATCCTACAAAGTCCGGGAAACGTTTTGGGAAATACAATATAATGCAGTTAAGTATAAGGCTGACATTTTAGACGGTTCGGAAAGTGGATTAGGAATACAAATAATTCAATCTAATGTTTTTATTCGATGCAAGGCTTTATAATATAGTTAAGACCATATACATAGATAACTCACATTATTATGTTCAAATGGCATTTAATGTAAAAATCCCATTGAAGAATCGTTTTTTGAAAGCAATATACGTCTCATTACTTTTAAATATAACATGTCACGGTGTCTCCTCTAACGAACCGGGTATCCGCCCCAGCGCATATGTCAACACGGGTTTCACCCGGATCAGCGGAACGGCCTGTCCACTTTTTCAATAACAATTATTTAAAATTGAAAACTTCAATAGTGTAAATCTACATAATATTATTGCCGTAGAATTATAGAAAGTATATCTATTTTAATAAAATATGTAGATTGTAGATATATAATACAGTCTTTACGTGAATTGTACCCAACGATTTATCAGACGACCGTATATGCCCAGCCTTCCAACAACACTTTAAAAGTGTAGATTAATTTTTTTTAGGAGACCTCAAACAAAATAACAATGTACCTGCGAAAGTTTATATTTATTTTAAATTAAAACAATATGACAGTATTTTTTATCTCGAAAAACGTGTAAAAGTAACTTAATTGATTAGGGAAAAAAGACTTTCACAAGGTATTTTTAGTAAATGAATCAAAGCCAAGTATTATGACTACAGCGAAACAACCATGTTTAAATCAATGAGTTAAAATCCATGTCTTAGATCATAATATACTGTATTACTGTTATATCTCATCATTAGAGAAAGCATATTAATGACTTTAAAAAACAGGCAAAAGTTCCATAAAAACTCTAACAAATTACTTAATTTGTAAATTACATTATTATAACTTTAGAATATTATATATTTATATAAGTATACAATTCAAAAATTAACAGTACATTTTATTATGTAATAGCTGGTTCCTATATAATTTTATGCAAAGGTAACTATTTAATAATATTTGCTTTTATTTTCATTTTCATATTTCCTAAGAAAAATGAAATAATTTACACAAAACAGTGGTTGTAGGTATAACGAAATATAATTGCAGTTTGGTTAAGTACCTATACTTATATGAAAATATGTCAAATTCACAAGATCCTATCATATCTTTTTACTTATAACGTTATCAATATTTGCACTGACAATTGTTGTTCTGTCACACATAATTTATATTAGAAAGTAAATGTGTTTCATTGGTTTTAATACAAGCAATAATACTTATTTTAATATTCTTACACAGTACACACCTATGTTTAAGTTGTTCACTTAATTGTATAATATTTTTTTTTATGAAGTGCCTATCTAAAATAAATTAAAATTTGTGTGTGTACCTACACTGCAGCACAGTAGCAAAATCAATGGCGTTCACAGGGGGGAAAAGGCTAACGAGCTTAATTTTAACGTTTTTAGGAAATAAACTAAAACTAATCAAACACAATCTAAGCAAATGTGGTCTAACCAAGCTGGTTACCAAATAATTTTTTAATAAAAATATTAACATTTTAACAAATTATCATTTTTTTTCTCAATTATTTTAAAAAGTAGGTAGGTACTATATAAGCATTTTCAATTTCGATCTCCCAATGGTACCAAATTGGTATAGATCAAATTTTTTAACAAAAACTTCCATCGAAGTTTATGATATCAGAGCATTATCAAGTTGTACAAACTCCTTCAAATACTTCATCTATACATCTGAAATTATGAGACTGGAAAAAATAAAAATAAAATTGTAATTATTGATTTTCAAGCCTCCCCCTGTCATAAGTCTTGAGTATGCAACTAAGCAAATAGATGCATGCATTTTAGTCGGTGATGTATTAACACCTAAATATATTAATGTATAAAGGTGTAACTGGTATATAAGCTTATTTTCAAGTTAGTGGAATATTCCCATCATACGGCGTTACATTCATGCTCGGGACATGGTACTTATTGCTTATAAGTTATAATAAAATTGGTATATAGTTATATGTGTGTGAGTCCAACCGAGCGTTCACGGTACAAAGCAGTTTAATTCTGGGAAGGTCTGATGAAGACGTTGTCCATAGAACATATAAATATATAATATTATAATAATAATATAATGTACTATAGTCTATTTTGTATACAAATTAGATCTTCCCTTTAAAATAATTTCCGCTGTATTACCATTAAAATATTTAAATGTCTGACATTTTAATGTAAAATTTAGAATTTAAAAAATGTATGCATCCATTTTTTATGTGACTTGACAGCTGATGTACAGCTGCGAACTTGTGTTAAAATCGTATTACCTACGAAAAATCACTAGTCTTATTCAGCTCGTAGTCTCGTACCCTTGAAAGGTTTACAACACAATATATCTATATATTCTTTAGGGATACCATTGATTATAAATACTAGTATTTAGGTATAAGCAATTGTGATACTTATAAGTATATTGACAGCTATATGCCTATATAGAGTATACATATATTATGTTATTTTTATAACAAGACAATATTATGTATATTTAGTTGCGATGTTTCCTATCTCATTTGAAGTGTTAGGTAAATCAAAAACAATATTATTATATTATACTCAATGTTGGACATTTCATGTAATAATAACGTGATAAATATATGTACCTTCATGTATTTCTTGGAACACTTGATAATATATCTATGTAATGTGTATAAGGTATATTTCTACGGAAAAATAATATACCATCTCATGCTAAAAAAATAGGCTATTGTTAATACCACCTCATCTTAAATTGTTGAAATTACATGTTTTTTAACCATGAGTGAAAAGAACAAATAATAATCGACATTTACACACAAATTGTAGTTTTGAAAAAATTTAATTCAAACTAGCCCTTAGCTCCAACACAGCAATCTATAATGATTAATGATACTGTGTACTGTGCACATTGCATAATATTACTGTAGAAGCGACCTAAAGTTGATTTGTTCTTCCTAACATAACCTCGCAATTTTGAAGTGTTAAAAATTTAGGTCGAATATATTTTTTTTTTTTGTTTAATAGATAAAAACAATTTATATTGTATACACGAATTTTCATTAAATAATAATAATTTAATATAATAATAGTATTCACGAGTATCAACGTTTGTACTTTTACAGCTCACATAGGCTGGCCCCCGAAGTATAAGTACACATATACCTCCCAATAATATTATATCGACTAAAAAAACACAGTTTAGTAATTTGTATCGATGTGTAACCATAATGTCGACATTTTCTACAATCCCCCTCACCTAAACCATAATAATTTGTGAACTACATATTTTTTTTAGGTACCTATAGGTATAGGTAGATATCGAAAATATTGTTTATCTATATAATATATATAATTTTAATAAAGAATAAACATTATAAAAAAAGGTGGGCAAGTGGGTGTCGCTCTGCTGTACAGTAGGTTACAAGTGGGTCACTGTATAATGGATGATATTAAATTTGAATTCAACGATATAATATCATTGTATAAGAAAAACGATTCTGAGCGGAGACAGTATGTCAGTCTAGGTATAAGACATATTATATACATTATACATATCTATGGTACTAAACCAAAATTTGACCTATTATACCTATAATAAATTCCAAAATTAATCATATCAAAATATCTATTAGGTACTTATAACGCGTTATACATCA